TTAAACTTATGTATCACCATGAATATTTGCCTTAGCTACCATGGCCGTATGGCCGACTATCAAACGTCCCGGAGTCTATGTAACTACTATTATGTAATCTCTAATTTTAGTCCTAAATGTAGGACATCAAACACAAAAAATATTCTACATTTTTGAGTGTGTAATGTGGTTACAAAATTAACGTAAGCACCTAAAGATAGACGACAAACATTAATTTCAATTGATTTACATTTAGTTTTTTGAAATGTTCATGACTAAGCATTATTTTTAGTAAGTGTTGCTAAGTCAGCATAATAATAAGATAATAATGATGACTTGTTTATTGGCATTATATATATATACTGCACTAGCGATTCTGCTCTTCTCCTATTGATTGTAGCGTGATGTTTTATAGCCTATAACCTTCCTGGACAAATGGACTATCCAACAAAACAATAATGTTTCAAATCAGCCCAGTAGTTTTTGAGATTAGCCCGTTCAAACAAACAATTTCTTCAGGTTTATACATATTTATTATACATTTAATAGTCTAAGCTAAATGGTTGAACCTGTCATATATAGACTGAGGAAAAGATAAGCTGAGATAAAGAATATTCGGTTGATATATACGGTCTAGAAAATGTATATCTTATGTTTATATTTTTATCACAATAACATAATATTACTAGTTAACTATGTCTTGTAATTGTTATCTTATTTTATTTTTATTGTAATGTATTATATAATTGGTGTTTGTAACAGGAACATATATTGGAATCAGGATGTATTTAATCCATATATGAGTGTGTGTGTATTTTTAAACTACAAACTAGGTGACATTAAAAAATATTCCGTGATTTGTAATTAGCATAAGCTTAAGGTGTCAGTGACGTTTCTAAATACATAGATACTATACACTTGTATTCATTTAACTAGCAATACCAAAGGTTGGTCGTTTTAAACGACAAACTAGATGGCATTCATATAAAAATCTTCCGGATTATAACATTAAAAACAATCCCAATTTATATCAATATGTAGGTACAGGGCTACACATAAAGCCATTCAAAACCAGTATAAAGTAACCGTCGAATGCGAGAAAACATAACATCATATGAAGTAAGATATAGACAATAATATCGCAGCACGGTAATAGTATTCCAACTTCATACAAATGTACGAAACGAGAGGAGAACCTAACGGGTTACCGAGGCTCCGGCTCGAAGTGCAGGAGAAGGAACGGGGTGGTTTTTAATCAGTAAGAGTCTGACACTCGCTCCCGCCTCACCCAGGCGGGAGCAGTCATTCGATGATTGACCAACCTAAAAAAAATACCTACACTCCTCGATATCGCGGTTCGCTCGGGGCGGAGATAGTCATGACTGTACCGCAGTCAGGAACGGACGGTGTGTTGTTTTTTTTAACAATAACCGCGCGATTTTTCTCTAAAAATCAGTTCGAGTACATATTTAATATGACGGATTTTTCTGTCGTAAATTCAGAAGCCCAATGAGTTTTTCAAACAAAAACATATTTTTTAAAATTAAATTTACCAATCAAAAAACAACACGCATTTTTATTGAACACTTCCTATTCAATAAACAAAGTATTTTTGTTTACCTATTAAAAAAGGATAGTATTTACAACCACAAAACTGAATAGAAATAGAAAGTAGGCAAATGTAATTAAAATGCTGGAGACGCAGCCCTAAACGAATGTTTACGTACCGCGCGGCTGTAGGTATATGACTCTGTCATGCGGCCGAGTTACAATACTATATGATAATATTACCATGGCGAAGTGTAGCCGTGTTTAAAATATGTAGGTATATACCATCGATGGCAAAAATAATATTACTTTGGACTCTATAAATATTGACTAACTTTGAATATTATTTGACGCCTTTAGCATTAGCGTAAATTGTGCCTCTTTGACAACACTCTTGTTAGCACAAAATAACAAAGCTTGTTGAATTTTTGCGTAAGGCAATATTTTAATCTGACAATAACATATTAGGGTACGTACTCAATTGTTGTTTTTATCGATACAAGAATTATAGAATTACAAATATTATTGGTAGGTTGTCTAATGTTTATTTCTCTACACATGTTTTTTTCATAGGTGTTGGTCGGTGACAGATTTCTTGTAGTAGTAACTAGTTTTATTAACAAGGAATGCTAACGACAGTAGTTGATTAATTTATAATATTACTATAGATAAAATTAACAAGAAATTTCATCTTTTGGACTGCCTCGTTGGTCGGGTGGTCGCAAGTGCAAGGGGAGACCCCTTCGGAGAAGGGTTCCTGGGTTGAGCAAAGTATTACTGAGATTTTATTAAAGTACTACTTTATTAAAATCTCAGTGGTAGCACGGAGTCTGGAACTGTGCCCGGGATATGGCAATAGGCTCACCCCCAATTACATGGGACTCATAATATAAAATAGTGAAAAGTGGGTGTTACACGTTACAGTGGCATTAAGTGCCATATTGTGCCTACCCTTTCGGGGAAGAAAGGCGTGATCTTATGTTTCATGTTTTTTCAAGGTCGCTCATCAAATAAGAGCCACAATTTTAAAAGTCAATCTGTTACACGCGATTTTCGTCCATAAACCAAACGCAATGCAGTTATTATCCCAATTACCATTGTAAGTAAATACTTACTTTCATTTTGTGAATTATGTTTTTGAAAGTATAATATTTCAAATAAGATTTTGAAATGTAAACGTAAAATACGCTCTTTTGTTAGCTTAAAAAAATTCGTCTTTTCCATTACTAATTTGCAGTGACAATTTATCCACTTTTAAACTGTCAAACACCAAGCGGTCACCGGTGACCGCAACCTATTGTTCTATAATTGTGTCTTCAAAACCGGTACTCGACGAGTTAAAGGTTGTTATAAACATTGTACCTAGCTATTAAAGGGTAAACGTAAAAAGTCATCATCATGACATGACGTCAACTGCTCAACATAGGACTCACTCAATAACTTCTACGCTGATCGGCTGGAACCGAACTTCAAAATGCACCTAGATTTTTTGGGAAAAGGACTAGCGAGTGTGAGATTTTTACCTCACTTAAAACTCCCCGGTGGCCACCATCTGCACCTGAAGGAATCACCGGGTCCTCTTAGTAGACCAACCCTGGAGCCCCCACAGTGCAAAGACCTACATTCAGCTATTTATAATATATGATAACACAAATTGTACAGGTAAAGGCAGAGATGCCCATTGCGGCACTTAATTCCACTATACAATGTAACACCCACTTTTTACTATTTATGTAATGAGTCATATGTAATAGGGGGTGAGTTTATTGTCATATACCGGGCACAATTTCAGACTCCGAGCTACAACTGAGATTGCCCGATTTTACTTTGCATGTAATGCTCCAAGTGTTGCAAGCGTTTATAGGCCACGGTAACCACTTACTATCAGGTGGACGGTGTGTTTTTTTGTCACCTTTTTTGGTATAAAAAAACCAGGTGATCGGTCTAGTATAATTTCAAAGCAGTCAAAAGTTCATTTAAGCTATTATGACTCTATAGTCCGATAGCCACGTAACATGGAACATATCGGATATTCGTTCCATTACTTAATTTACGATTATAATCAATTAGTGTCGGTTTCATAAACTTAAATCATTTATTCGTACTCAATTAATGGATGTTCACGACTATCACCGCCTAATTTAGTAATCCTATAATTTAATTATTTCAAAACTAATCATTTTTTTTTGTAATTTCATTATGACGTCATTGTATCTTCAAATAGCAATGTGAGCAAAAGTCAATAACAATGCATCCATGGTTAAAGCGCCCGCTTTGTGAACTTTAATAATAAACTTATTTAGGTTCAATTTATGGGTACTTTATCCGTTTAAAATTAAATGCAACTGCAATAGAAGAATTCTGTTTTTGTTACAGATTTTAAAAATTATTTTAATTCTTAGAAGTTAGGTTACATTTAAGTTTTCTAAT